TTGCATTACGATGACATTTGGATAGAGGTGTCCCCGTATGCCGGAGCCTACATCATGCTATTGGTCAGTTTGTATCTGTTCTTAGACAAGTCTTCTAGCAAGGTCAAGTTAATGTACCTTCATTTGCTTGTCGATCTTACCACTGCCAATCAGTACAGCCGGGGTAACGCGGCATTGGCATGGCTATACCACGAGATGTGCATCGCCACTAGACGCAATGCTAAGGACATTGGAGACTTATGTTTCATATTACAAGTACATAATATGGTTATGGGCATGAGAGCAATGCTAAGGACATTGGAGACTTATGTTTCTATTACAGTTACATGGAGACTTATGTTTCATGTTCGTACAATTATTATTATTTTTTTTTGAGTTTTAATGTAATGTCAAACATACGTGTTACATTACAATTGATTTGTGTTTTTATATAATTGTGGGCATGAGAGCGTTTATCAGACATACGTCCACAAAAATTACTCCCACATGACCCATTACCTCATGTCATAGCGGATAAAGTAGTTGTACATCCAAAGGTTGGCCCACCAGATGGTGTAGCACCTACACCTGCACCGGTACATAATCCTGCACCAGGGTCACATGATGTCTTGCCAGCAGGGCCTCGTGAGTGTAGGTAAGACAATATTTGTGTCTTACACTTCATTATTCATTAGTAGTATACAGTACATCCAACTAATGTTATTTGTAACTCTTTTTTTTTTATTTTTTTGGTGCTATGCAGTTGGGATGTTGCATTTTCTAAGCAACACACGCCCTACCCATGACTCAGACATTATAAAAATCAACTTGATCAGATGCACGATGAACAGGTATACAAACGGCCGCTGGTCTTATTATTGTTTGTTAACTATCGAATTTACTTGTGGATGCTGTTGTTGGTTTGTTGTTTGATGCACAACAAATAATTGGTGGCTATTGTTGGTGTGCTGTTGGATGTGTTGTATGATGGGTAATTATTTGTATGATTGTTGGATGGTAGTGGCATTTATTTAGGTTGTTGTTAGTGTATTTATACAATATAATATGCAACAGGTGTTTTTGAAAAAAATTTGGGGTCATACATATAGGGGAAACTCTGTCAAAATTTTTAATTTTTCTCTGCATCTAACAAAAATCATCTTTCCTATGTTGCAAATGATATGGCAGTCTTTCACTACTGATGTGCTGGCCAGCCTACTTGATTATTACTTGTGTGGTCGAAAATTATGGACTACACGAGCCTCACTCATATGTTTTGATGTGGTGGAGTGACATTTTCCTGACCGTGTTTTGCGACAATTTTGATGCACACAGCCCATACCAGCGTCTTATGATTCTAGTCAGGAGCTGCATGCCACAAATAGGCGTGGAAGTATGAATGGACGATCGCACATCAACGGTACATCAGCATGTGGGATCAACGGGGGGATTCTATTGTTCACGGCGAGTCTACGCTCGACATGATGGATGCCACTAATCCATACATAGAGTGGTATTGGCGCATTACTCATCTACTTATCGGACCACCGATGTCGCACCCTGACGTATGTTTTCAACCCGTCGGCAGTATCATCGAGCTATTGATATGTGTTCTTAACTTGGTAGATAAATTAAATGTGGTACATAAATTATGTTATCTTGTTTTAAATCATTATTTTATGGTGCTGCAAGAACAAGCATTGACATAAGTATATCACACAGCTCGTGATACTGTTAGTGGCGAACCTAATTTGTGGACATATTTGGAGGTGTTTGTCAACTCTTTCAGAGCACCGAAGACTTGTGTAACCTCCGACAAACATTCAGTAGCTAGTTGTTACAGCACCAGTGCACGCACGACAGCGTGGTGTACGCATTCCACGACGGCTAGCTGCATACACACATGGGCAGACATCCCCACTGGTCGTGGATATTGATGCCACATCATCAGAGGCAGGCCCATCGGCTGCATATGTTCCCCAGACTGTTGCAGATTGTCCACTTACCCTATATGTCCCAGCTGCTAATTATTATATTCCTACACCGGTCGTTCATCATGTCACTACATCACCGCTTAATCATCCTACAGTTACATTATGTGGTCCACCACTTACCTCACCACGTGTTAATGCATCGGTGACTCTATTCACACCTTCACCGGAGCCAGTTGGTACAGCAGATATGTCACCTGCACTAGACTAGACAGATACATCACTTCCAGAAGTAGTGGCATGTATTTCAAATATTATTCCACCGATGCCCACACGACCTACTTCTCCTATTCCATACGACGATTGTTCTGATGATGCTGAGGTTCTAGCTGAGGGAGTTACACAGGAGCCATCAATATCACACAAAGGTCGAGGTAGAGGTGGGCATGGAGTCGATCGTCCTAGCCACCATACACATGATCTTGCAAATGGTGGAGTCACTCAAGATATACTGACTCTGCCTGATGGACAGCAGCCCAAGCGAATAGAAGACCACCACCTTGTGGGACGTAGTCCATTTTTTTCATATTTTTTATATAAAATTTGTGTTTATTAGTGTTGTATGTAAAAACTCTTTGGCTTCATAGTTTCATATATTGTTATTTCATTACTTGCTTTCAAATTAGTTATTCAATACTCCAACCAACGTTTCTTGAATAAAATAACAAAAGTTATTGAAATTTAGGTGGACAATACTAACTGGAGTAGTACACCATATTTTATAGAAACAAAATACAAAAACATAATGCATAAACATACTGCAAACACAAGTACGACAATCGAAGTGCAACATAGAAGTTGCATAACACTTCTTCATGGGTCTTCATCTTCGTCAGACAGGTAATGATCAGAAATACATCCATCTTAACCACTCATTTGGAAGCTTAAAATTGTTTTTTGTATCCTCCCTTCTTCAGCACGGTCGTTTGCAATATGACGTAGGTTGTACCGATTACAGCGGATTGTCATTCGATTGTTTTCAACTCGAATGCGAAATAATGCTTACTCTAATTCTTGAGGAATTGTAATAGACATAGCAATGGCAATTTGTCGAGGCCTTCTTATGTTGCAAGAACGTAAATCTAAGTTTAGATTTTCTCTTTTTGTTAAGCGATATTATCATTCTGTCATCACGTGTTTCTAATTGTTAGTGAATAACGTAAGTGAGGATTCATTGGGTAAAAGAATTCATCCTCTAAAGCCCAATTATAACCCAAAACTTCAAATAGGGTTTTTGGACAATAATTCATGGTTAGAGATGAATTCTGTACATTGAACATTGCACATGTGTTCAAACTTATAGGCAAATTATTTATGTGAGTATGTCAGTCTACAACCTAAATGAATGACATTACAGCATTGTGTATTCATACTCACTGACTACACAATAATATTTAGTCACACTTACTGACATTGAACCAGTGTGTTGTCACACATTCTGACATTGAACCATTGTTTAATCACACTGACTGACATTGAACCAGTGTTTTAGTCACATTGACCCAATCGGTAGTCATAATGACTGATAATGATACAATTGTTAGTCATTGTAACTATTCTTGTTCAATGCACAGGTGTTTAGTCACAATCAACATCCTATGACTACACAGTAGTTAACAGCCAGAAACCCTAATACTGTTAAACGTATCACGGACATAAATCACTAGGAATCAGGATGAATCAAGATCTATTAATTTCAATGTAGTACACGTCTCAGTGTGCAGTCACAATCCCTGCATACCAGTGTCAGGTTACACTGACAAGTAATAGTGTGTAGTCACACTTACTGCACATTTTTTTGATAGAGGCAAAACTAATAGCGGCCAATATACAACACAGTTGCAAAACACAGTGAACCTGGCGAATGTCACAATATGAAACCAACTAAAAAAGCATATCAATAAAAATTGTACACAATAAAAACAACTAGTGAGGACCAACTCAGCTCATTCATTTTGAAAGCTAAACTAAATATCTGGCCATTTTCTAACCCACGATATTTCTACAATAAGCTTTTTGTTCTCTTTTATAGTAAATAAGGAGGTAGTCGTGTAACAAAAATAAGAGTCTTTACAAGCACTTGTATGACTACCATCCATACCTACAGGGCAATTGTGGTTGCGACAACTTCCCTTTGTCACAAATAAACTCCTGATCCCCTCTTTTTTTGGTGGACTTTGGTGCACAATTTGACCAACATGTCATGCTTTCTATTTGTATCATGCCAAGCTTTAAGATACGATGTCCAAAAAACAAAGCTTTAAAACACTGCTTTTAAAATACCTGCAGATCTATCTCAATTGGCCAGACGTCTACCTGCCAATATGAATAATGTTAGTGGAGGATGCAAGGTTCGATTCCCCTCTCCCTTCCCGTCCCCCAATTGTGTAAATACATTGCAATGACAAATAAAAACACTGCTTCCACTTTTGAACATTACTCACAAAAGGAACTGTCGCTCTGCTAAGATTCAAGTTCTTTATACAACATCCCAAACTATCAGGTCTTTTCCAATAAAAAATATATCTAAAACTGACTGTTAAAGAAAACAATCACACTGAAAATCTAAATAAGTACTGAAAAATAAAGTATTTATTGGCCACTGTCAATTTCGTGTTTGAGGACGGGTCATTATGCAGCGGTAAACAGCAACAACCTCTTTTGTATGAGGGGGTAAACTACAACCGCAAATATTCAACCTTCCCATACCCCATGGTATTGGGAGCCTAATGCTGCTGTGCACTGGGACTGGGCTGCCTTTTTCGCCATAAAGAGGACACATATGTTGATTACGTGTCGAAGAAAAGAAGTCTCATCCTACAACTACAAGGATGAATTTAAGTTTTGAAGTTCCACGCACAAAGACCCTTGTTGCTCCGTGTATCTGATGACTTTGTAGTGCACCTATGCCCGCTCAATATCGCAAATCACATCAAAAAGGACCCAAATAAAACAAATCCTATCAGTTATAATCAAGTCATAGAAAGATTTTTGACAAAAAAAGGGAAACCATCACCCCCAAGATATCCTCCTACTCTTTTCCACCCCAACAATTTAAAAAAAAAAAAGCGGAGGAGGGAAACGGGGTAACAAATAATAGTAGGCAATCAGTTCCACTTAAACAAACTCATCAAGTAAACAATCCTCTTATGCAAAATTCCGGATACAGACAGACACATTCAAATATGGTCTTTTCGCCATACTAATGTTGATGTCACTGGACGATGATTCAATCCAGACACAATCAATACAAAGCATAAATCAAAACACAACAAGTCACAGAATTAAAACCATCCAGTCCTTGAAACAAAATCTGGATCCAACCTTAACGAATTTTGGTCTTTTTCTGATCTTGAATCTGGAATGCTGCACATGTCTTCTTCCAGCACCGGATTACGACAAGTGTGGGTATTACAACCCAAAACGAATTTGCTATGATGTAGTATGCATAATAATAATACAAGCTTGCAGCAAAGTCATCCCCATCCAAGTAAGAAGTAATGAAATATACAGCAGTTCCATAAAGCTGTCCTAGAGAAATAGCTACTTGAAGTATGTAGCTATATGGCTTTTTTGTGGCAATAGCGTACCTGCCAGGGGGTAATAGTCAAGATAGATTAAGACTGAAAAGGAGTTGTGATGAAAAGCTAGTCAACGTACATCTATGCTCAAGCTACCACTAACAGCAAGATTCTTATTATTGTTTATTATCAATTGCATGCCACATTAAATTTACATACGCTGCTAGAAGACTAGCTGGACCCTCTAAAACAGCAGTGATTCCTTCAACAGCAACAATTCCAGATTCTCTTGCTGCATATCTTGAATCACCTTTGCTGTATTCTTTCCCTGCCAATTTCATTTAGACGCACAATCAAAATTTTTACATAATCCAATAGAGTATTAGTGGTTGTAGCCTGGACGAAAGTTAAAGCAGAAGGAGAACTTACAAACTTCTGCGAGGTAACATGGAGTCTTCTCCTTAAAAAATTCTGGAGAGAAAACAAAATAACCCTCAAGGATCATGTGGGTCAGGCCCGTGAAAACCCACCAGCACATGAGCAATCTATCAATCTTTGACATTTTAGGAAACCGCCCTAGTTTAAACAAATAGATGAACAGATGCAACAAAAAGCTCGTCAGTTGGCTAGCAGTCAAATATTATCATTATGAGAGGGGAGTGTAAACAGACAAAAGTAAACAGATCGTATGTCTATAGAGATAAACATAGAGAGCAATTTTCCAAAATATAACTCGAATGATGATTAAGCTAATGCATTTATATTACATACAACTCTTTTAAGTTCTAAGTTTTTGTACTGGAAAGTGAAATGCAATAAGCAGTTGGATTTGAAATAGAACTCAGCTTTCATAACTTCTTATGTAGAGTTTGTACACCTCTTTTTATCATAATTACAAAAGATCAACAGATATCTTTGGTGTATTTTGTGTAAAGAAAGTGGCGGAAGTGTTGATTATTTGTCCTTTCATTGTCTCATTGCAGTGTATCTGTGGCATAAGCAATCGTGGGAGGCGGAATTGATGTGGGTCATATCATCCCTTGCAATTGTGTATCCCTATCTGCAGTGCGCTTCATAGGTTCAGAGAGTGGAAAAAAAACATCGTTGTTATGGAGATGCGCATATATAGCCATTATTTAGATAAAGTTATATAATTTATCACAAAAATATAGTATTAATGATAAATTATTCATAAGAAATGAGTATTTTATGATAAGTAATTGTTATCTTTAGTCATCTAGTGAGAATTGTTAGAATAAAGCATCATAAAAGTTAATAATCGTGAATTATTTTTAGACAATCTGTACTCAATATATATAATTTAAATGATTGTTATTGTTTTTTCAATTTCTCTTTTTAAAAACTTTTACGTAACTTTGACTTTTATTATTATATTTTGAGTATAATTTTAATATATCTAATCTTGATAATTATATATTATGTCCACAGTTATTAATATTGTACAATATGTCACGATACACAAGAAAAAGATACGAATTGTGTCTCTGTATTATTTTTGTGTCGTATCATACAAATCGTGTATCCGTACTATTTTTGCATCGTATTGTACGAATCGTATCTTTGTATTATTTTTGTATCGTATCATACGATACAAGATACGATACGTATCGTTCGATACATACAAGATTATATATGAATCTGTTTACATTTTTATTTTATTTTATTTTGATTGAAACGAGGCCGTTTCACCCAAGACTTATTTTTTTAATCCTATAGCCAATGAAACGACGTCGTTTCAATGGCTAGGGCATAAAAAAATTAAAGGCGGCCTTCTTTTCTTCAACGACGAAGACCAAACCAATTAAAGGTTGTCCACCAAAAGAGCAAAAGGGAGAAGCCATCGACTGCGACCAGACCAATGTTACCTAAATCGTGGGTCACTTTGGTACGTGGTATGGGTACCGGTATACGGTACGATACTTTCTTAGATACGCAATACAATGGAAGTAGACTTAATTGGTACGGTATTTTTTATCACAATTGTTTTAGAAATTTTATGTAGATCATTTTTACTATTATACAACATTATGTATTATAGAACATCCATAAATACTAAGTCAATTACCATTTATCTTATAGTTGTGCTTGATTTTCTGTTATCTAAAATAATATATAATTATGAATCTATATACATGCAGTTAATTAATATGTATTTTATATTTGTTTTACATTATCTAAAGCTAATTGATTTAGTGTTAGTATTACAATTTAGGATCATCTATTTTGATGATCTAGATTGAGAATCCATTCTGTTTGGGATCGATGTACCAAGATCATGAATCGTCAGGAGTTTAGTGAATTGTGGTAACCATAGACCGGATTGTGACTCCCACCGCCTACCTTCTACAAAGGTTTTTTCATTTTCTTCTTCCTCTAGATTTGTGAAGTTCTTCGTCTGGATCTGCGAGAGAGCTTTGCCTGTTTGAATTAGTTTATGACTATTTAGAAGTTTGAATTAGCGGTATTTGCATTTTGATATTAGTAAACTATGTTAGAAACTTGAGCAATTAATGAAATTTTAATAAAATGCTATGTTATTATGAGTCTCTAACTTTTTTACAAATGTATATATATTTTATTAATAATTATTTAAAATTGTATCATATCTTATGATACACAATATAATACACTATTTTTAAAAAACAATACACCTTCCTATACGCGATTTAACAACTACAGTTCTGCCATAAGATACTTATTGTCAAAATTTTAAACTTTGTTAATCACTTGTCAACACATGTTTACTTAGGCATGGTCTAAAGAAGTGTCGGACACATTACTAAAGAATTGTCGGACACATGCCCAAAATTAAATTTTTATCATTTAATTATAGACACGAATAAAAAAGTATTTAACACATGTCCGAGAGGGTCCGAAGAGTGTCAATGTCCGACACGAATACATTACCTTCATGAGAATTTATGTGCTTCATAGTTACAAAATCTCTGAAAGAAAGGAGGAGGCAAAAGAGATGTTATCGAATAAAGTGAAGTTTTATCATCTATTTGGGTGGTGGTTTCAAATGAGTTTAGACTTTAGAGAGACCCCTCTTTGTTGGTTTTACAACATAAGTGAAAAGCCACATCTAGTTAATTTTGTTTTGTTTTATACTTGTATCTTCTTGTTTTTTTTGGTGAATTTCCTATCCACCATTTATGTACTTTATATACTTTCTATGAAATAAAAGCTTTGTTTCTTTTCAAAAAAAAAAAATGATCAACCATAAAGCAAGCGAAGTCAGAGTTTCCACTTTCATAACAATAATCATAATCCTAGTAGTGGATACTTGAGTATGATAAGCCCACATGTCATGGGAGATCACTAGCATGTCAGCTAAAAAAACACCAACTGGCATTCGCCACAGAAGCACACTCAACAGGATTCCAAGTGCTCCACTAAGCAATAACGCATGGCTGCCTTCACCATGCACTTCAAACAAGAGGGAGCTGTAATCAAGGTGTTGCACAGTCTTTGCCCCAGACTCCCACTTAACAACCACCATAGTGCACGCCCCAAATTCTTAGATGCTTTCTTAGAAATTATAACAGCACTACTCAAATCAATTGTGAACAGTGACCACAACATAATACCATTGACTTCTGGATGCACTTGGGGATTGGTCTGAGCTTATAATCAAGGGTGAAGGCAAGGGACCTCAATATTCGATACCACGACCCTATATGCATTGAAATACGTGTTGCACTACATCGGTAACATGAATGCTAAGAATAGTTGCACAAGCCAACCTTGCACAATCGAGTTCCACAAGCTAGAAGGTTCTCCCACCCACTCAAGTTCAAGCTCCTTTTTTTTTGGGTCAGGAAGTTCAAGCAACTTGGAACACAGGCAATCCTACAAGCATTAGCTCCTAAACCAAGAACCCTCAAATAACACTCTTCCACTGCAGACTGTAAGCATATAATGACTAGGATCAACCTTTTCATAAGTTGAACAGGATGCCTATGCCGACCAAAAAGTTCCAAAAAAATTGATCAACTAAAATCTAACTTGAAAAAGCAACTCTACCTATCTTTTATAATGACTGAAGGGCACACTGTTGGTTTAGAAACAGAAACAGGATTATATGCTTAGAATCTACTGGAGTCTTACTCAACAGAGTACTGCAACACATATGACAGCAAACTTTAACAGAGCAGTTTGTCGCCATGACAACTGCAGTCATGGCAGTTGACTGCTCAACCTGTTTCCACACACTGCAATCATCTGAAGTTACTAGTGAGGAAATCCATAAATCAGTAAGATTTCCAGAAGCTTTAACATGTTAAACAATGCTCACTTTAAAAGACAGCTTTCAGTTTTAAATTAGTTAAAGAATATACTTGTATTAGACTTTGGTTTCCTACAGAGTCATTCAAATCTTTTTGTTGATACAGAAATTGTAGTCAATATAATATGGATGCAGTCTTCGGATAAAGATCATTCACTATTTGTATTTATGACTTTCTATTCCTTAAAGTATTCAGATTAACCAACAACAAAGTTAAGACATGGTTTTGTTTAAATACTACGGGTAGTTCCTTCAGCATGGTAACATACATATAAACGACCATAATGTGCTATATCCATACCATAAACTATTACTAGTACTACCTAATAATTCAACAAAAAGATACATAAATACGTTCAAAATAATGCTATTGCATACAATCGTGTAAAACATTATTAGATTTTGTAGTTTGTACCAAAGACATATCCATAAGAAGAGCAATGCTACACAACTTAAAAAATTGACTTAAAACCCTGACGTTTATATTTGTCATTAATTTAAGTGTGTGTCATTATTTATTGGAACTAAATACCGATTCAATAATAATGATTCATCAAGTCAATTTTTTTTAAGTCTATCTAGCATTTCCCCCTTTACAATTTAAAGAACAAATACGTCCATAGCATGTGGTCCCTTAAGATAATACCGTTGTTATATGATTGGCATCACGTATTGGAATCTGCATGATTTGCTAGATGTGATTTTTAAGAAATTGGTTAGATAAGAAAATGGTAAAGCTATTGATCCGAAGATTCGGTATCTTAAAGGATAGGGTTAACACAAAAAAATGGTTCCATAAGATTGAAGGGCAGTGGTGCTGCAGTACCAACTAAATCCATGTATCTAATCCAATTTAATCTGCAACAAAGTATTTTCCCATTTGAACAAGAACGGGACAATTCAAAAAGAAGAAACAAATAATAGATTTTTTTTAAGAATAGTATATTACCAGAGACGATCCAGACGAAGGAGACAACGAGAAGTGAAGAGAGGCCATAAACGGACAATATTGAAGACTGGGAGAGAAAACCTGGCATGAAATCTGGCAGATTCAGATCTCTCGGAACGTACGGGTGATTGCTTCCTCCTCCTTCATTTACTTGCGCCCCCATTTCCTTCGACGTAAAGATCTACTAAACTTCTCAAATCTCACTTTCACTTCCAAAGTCAAACCGAGAAACGGCTAGGCAACTAGGAGTGAGGGACGACTGAGATATATATCTCTACCAACGATAACCCGTGCCTACAATTCAGAAAAACCAAACATTGATTGTGAACACAAAAAAATAAAGTATTGAACATGAACACACACATTAAGCTAGAAGATACAACTTAAATTGAAACTGAAAACGCATAAAATTCATATTCTGGAAACTACAAACCTAATTAGAATTAACAGTAGCACCTAGTAAGAGATAATCGATTTAAGAACTGACATACACTTATCTAACTTAATGTCATGATTTTGGTGAACTAAAATGAGTCGAAATGCTTTGTTTTCATTCATCATAAAAAATACAATTAAAAGAAATATATGTGCCTCAAGACATTTTATCATGCTAAACCAAAAATCGTCAATATTTAATCAACTATTTTTTGTGTTCATTTAAAAAATTTAGACAAATTTTCCAACAAATAGAACCGCAAGAAACTATCAATTTGTAATAGACAATTTGTAAAACGCTAATTACTCAATTCACCCTCTATAAAATCTTAATTAAACAAATAAACTGTAAACTCCCAATGTTATATTGCATCAATCCAACTAAATTGTGTTGTCTATACTAAATCAAGACTCACAACAATCTATGTTGCCTTTTATGTATCCAAAGCGGCTCAAAAGGATACTAATCACATCAATTGCGTCATACCAATACATGAAAATGTGACAATTCAAACATAAAAAAGTGTATTACAACCATTTTTTAAAAAATTTATAAACAATCCATTAAATTTCTTAGTCTCAAGCAACTTCTATCACACAAAAAAATGATATAAATTACTTCTAAATCAGCTCTACCTCAATAAATCAACAAAAATCAGGGTTTGACCAATTCAAAATATTCTACACTTGGATTATATATTTGAATTAAAATATATACTATACACTTGCAAAATGGGAGAAATAAAAAATTTCGACAAAATATCTCCTGAAAATATTAACCATAGCCCTCTATAAACACAATTGTTTTTACCAACTACCACAACAACATTAACCATAAGATTAAAGAATGATCACCAAACGTAATTATACTGTACACTTGCAAACTGGGTCAATCTTTAATCTCATTTACCAAAATGGATCATTGATCATTAATATTATCAAACTTTCTCTTTATCATTGTCCTCAATGTCCTTGTATCAACACATATCCGTATCCTCCAATTGGGAGAATGTATAACAACCTATTTTTTACAAAAAAAATAAATTCAATACACGACATAATTAAAAAAAACAACAAACTAAGAAAAGAAAAAAATAAATTACAAAAAATAAAATTAGTTACCTTATTTGTACATCCCCGTCAGGAAAGCTTGGTTGTATTTATTCTATTTAACTCGTGCACTTCTAAAAACAAGAGTAATTGGTACAAAGTTGTTTATTATTGAGAAAAGCTTGTATTTAAAGAAAGGACAATCTAAACCAATTATAGGACCCATCATACACAATGTAACACTCATAACTAATTATCATTGGGTCACTTTTATCAAAACTAATCAACACACAATAAATATAACTAAACAAATTTAAAAACATTCCTAAAATCACTCCTTATCAACTATTTCGAAATCTATAAACATGTATAACAACCACCAAGACATAGTCTTATTTTTCCCAAAACTCTTTTATGTATCTTCATTTGTTTGTCAAAATTATACCAAAAAAAAAAAAGAAGAAGAAACATGGGTGTGATGAGATGGTTTTGGAGGGGGGAATATGCTAGGGTAGGGTGTCCCTGTGTAAAACATGTTTTCTTATCGTGGTTAAAAGATTATATATAAATAAATTTAATTACTGTGGCTAAAACATTTATATTTAACCACAATTAAAACAAACGTAATTGTGCAACAAAATATTTGAGCAAAACTAAATTCTAATGAATCAATTTCAAGTTCAATTTTAAAACTTGTTTTATAAATAAACCAAATAGACATGTTATTCAGACTACCAATCGTTTGATAACGTTTTTGTTTTCGCGTCTTCAAAAAAATCAAAAACATAGATAATTTTTGTCTCTGTTTTATGGTAAACACTAAAACAGAAAACATATTTTGAGTCATTTTTGTCTATCAAATTATGAGAATAAAAACAAAAAACATATTTAATAACTACTTCAAATTTTATCCTAAATATGTTTTACAATATCTTATACAACAAAATACGAATACAAATCCAAAAATTTCTTAAATCAAACATTCACTAATTCATCAAAGAACACCAAAAGAAAGATAGTTAGATTACATAAGTCATTACAACACTATCATACATCATATTGTTCAACATACAACCAAATACACACATTAATAAGTCATATCACTTAACTAAAATTCCAATAATTAGTATAAATACCACGAACAATAATGCACAAATAAAGATCAAATTACAACCATAACAAGCAAGCATAAAAATAGTGATCTATTTTTTCTCTCTCCATCTTGACAACTAAACAAATTAAGCAGCCACAACCCACTAGTTTTTTGTTTTTTTTTTTGCCTGGGTCACAATCTACTAGCTCTCCTATACTCTGGATAGCTGAAATTTTATCAGAAGAAAATTTAGCAACTCGAGATGCTATGGCAATACCTTATCCAACAACAAAATGTACAAATTTTCACATATTATAAGCAACATATAAAGAGGCAATATGTGTTTATAGTGCAGGCACAGTATATCTTAAGCTACGATAGTCAAGTTTTTCCAGGACACATTCTTGTCTACAGGATTTTCTTCATCCTTGTTCTACCAAAATGATTGGTTTATTAAGATTAATTCGAAGACATCATCCATTTTTATCCCCCGTCGTTTTCCCTCAACTCAGAAGAAATAACCTAGTCTTGTTTACAATTTTGCATTCCCCTTTCCACAATACGACTATAGTCTAATTTTCTCAACAAAGGCAACATATGCGGGGAACTAACAACCATTGGATCTCTTAGAGACAAAACTATATTTGCACCATGTGCTTATCTGATATGTTTTATCTTTTCCTCAAGTTTTAATTCAGTGTTTTAAGTAGCAAAACCAAACATAAGGCTGGTTTAAATTGAGTTTTTATTCCATGTCTAATAAAACTTCTCACGAAAGCAAAAGTTCAATCAAACCTTGATACTAATAAACAAGAGCTAACTTTTGTTTATATGTAGAGGGCTTTTTCCAGTTTCTCAAATACATAAGCACACCAGCAATCAAAATGGCTACAGAGAGACTCCACTTGGGACTCTACATCAATGTAAAGAAGCATAACAATCTAGTAGCTTTTAAGGGACAGTAGTTACAGAAATATTTTATTAGCTATAGATTTAACTGCAACACAAACACAATGGTATCAATCAATGAAATGGGATGAACCTTTAACTGAAAATGACCATGCATCCTTACCAAAATTTGACATGGTGAACAGAGATCAAATATTTCTTGCCAATCCGTAAAGAGTTATAGTAAATTTTTCCAAGTCTTGGATGCTGCCTTTTGCCAATGTGTTCAGAAAATGGTGAAATCAGATGCCAGCCTCTCTGTTTTTCTAAATAGGTCTGCGAAAGTGTAATAGTGACCAACCTCCCCACTCTTCCATACATTTAACTTTGGTACCCAGCAAAATGAGAGCAAGTGCAAAGTGCAAGCTCAGCTCTATCTTCTCAATTGATAAAACAATACACGCCCCCTTAACCAAATCCAGTATGAGAATGCATCACTGCTTCTAAAGTCCCATTAAACTTTTTATGAACAGACATGAGAATTCAGCTCACACTCACCGAACACACAAAAGACACACACAGACACAGAACACAAATATCTATGAAAAAAATACGATTAGGGTCATATATGCATAGATCTATGTAGATCTATGCATATATATACAGATCTACGTGTATATATACATATATCTATACAAGTAAAGGGGCTTTTCGATCTTACCTTCACAGCGAGGGAGAGTTTTTTCGATCTGTTACTGGATGGCTCTTCGTCGATCTGTGGTGGAGGCTTCTTCTTCGTTGATTTGTGACTGGAGGATGGCTCTTCGTCGATCTGTGGGTGGAGGCTTCTTCTTCGTCGTTGAGAGAGAGAGGAGAAGAGAGAGTCGTTGAGAATTGAGAGCTCCAGAGAAGAGAGAGAGTTGCCGAGAGTGAAGGAGAAGAGATGTGTGTTCTTCTTTGTCGTCGTTGCTGAGAAGAGAGAAGAGAAGGGTTGTGTGCGTTTTATGACAAGGAAAATGAAAAAAGACCCCGTATTTATAGTTCATCACATGAAGTGGACTTTTGTGGCTAACGAGATTCGAAATTGAGAACTCATTTAACCCCGTCAGACAAAACAGAAACAATGCAGGAATCACTCTCTCTTCGGCAGACCAATCAGACCATGGCAATGTAATAGAGTACCCAACGATCTCTCATTACTGCTTGATTAGTGCTCTCTCTCTCTCTCTCTCTCTCTCTCTCTCTCTCAATCGTACAGCTATGGCAAGCAGTACTGCCAATGGAAGAGGAGGAGGAGAAGAGGAAGTGAATAAATTAGCAGCTCAGATCGGCAAAACCCTAAAAGAAGGAGAAAGAATTCTCGCCCCCACCAGAAGACCCGACGGCTCTCTTCGCAAGCCCATTCGAATTAGGGCTAATTATGTCCCTCAAGATGAAATCGCCATTTACCAGTCCAAAGGCACTCTCGTATGTTCATTACTCTCTCTCTCTCTCTCTCTCTCTCTCTCTCTCTCTCTCTCTCTCTCACACACACACACACATGAATGTATTGAGTGGTTTTGATTTTGTTTGTGGTTAGTAGCAGAAGGAGATGGCGGCGTCGCAGGAAGTGCCACCAGGTTACGATCCGGTGTTGGATGCAAAACCTAAGACCAAATCTGCTAAAAGGAATGAAAGAAAGAAGGAAAAGCGTGCACAGGTGAACTTTTTATCATTCTTATTTTCTCTCTCCGCACAATAATAATAATTTTGAAATTGATAACAGTGATTACCAGACATGTTTTGGGTTCCGTCAAATTTAACGATAAAACAAAAAACATTTTTTTTTTATGGCTCTAACACCTAATATGAAGAAAATGCATTAAAAATCAGAGATTATGTAGGAGATGAAATTTTCAAATCATCTATGGGAGATGAAAATGACATCAAATTGTCACAAGGTTGTTATAATTCAATGAAACCCTGATGTGAATCCAAAGTGTTTTCATTAGAGCATGGTTCTAATAAGGATTTATCGTGCCTAGATATGTTTTGCATCGGTATACTTCTTATGTCTGTCGGGGCTCTCACCAATTGATGAATAAGTTGTGTAAAATCCGTCAATGACTCTAAGGCCAATTTCGTTCTGATTTGTTAATAAATTTTGCTCTTTGGATTGTTGTTGAATTTTAGCATGTTATCCTGGCAGGCTTCTCTTGATAAGGATATGAATTTGTGCAATAATGAAGTATTATCAGCTGATGATGCAATTGGGGGATCAGAATCTGCCGAGTCAGTGGCTTCCCAGATAAATGGGCTCACTATCTCTGCAAGTGCTAGAGTTACCCCTCCCTCAAACTCGACAGAATATTCAACTCCTGGGGATCCTGTTCCAGATGTTGACAAAAAAATTCGAGCACTGAAGAAAAAGGTACATTTTCTCATGCTTATGGCATTTTCTAGGAATAATTATCAGTAGAAACTGTTCCACCACCTGTTTGGACTGCCAAGCATTCTTTTCACAATTTACTGGCTTATAAGCATCAAAGATAGCTTTGACCTTTAAGAAGGCTTCAGTTCTTCTGAAGGAATTGCTATAACTTTACTGATCGAAAAAATCGGCATAATATTAATCTTTTTTTGTGGCAGAAAATGCTTTGTATACTAGATGAAGATGTACTTGGTGTGAAGAAAACCCTCTCATTCCTGATTTATGTTGAATCTTCTGTGTTTATTTGCTTCTATTTCCTCTTTATAGTTTCCTTCTCTTTACAGTTGATCTCAGTAGGTTCAAAAAAATGAAAGAAAAAGACAAACATTTTCCCTACTATGAGGACATGGAAGAATGAAAAACTATTTGTTCTGAATGTTGGAGAATAGATTAAAAACTTTTAATTTACATCAGAAAATAATAGTGTGGTGCTTCCCTACTCGCTCTGGTGGAGGCTTGTGTTTGAAGTATAAGAAATGATTCAGAAGATAGCTCACTCTTTCCCTGAATTTGACACATCACTGGAGGTGAAATGGACTTGGTCAAAATTAGAACTGGTTTATGATCCATGAATAACTTTTTAACATGCACATTGATCAAGGATAACCTGTTTTAGTAGAATTAAGATAATAAACTATAGGAATGTTTTCTAAAAGTGTCTGTGCAGAAACCGGCAGTTGCTGCCACATGGAACTTGTTGGGGAATTGGCTTTCTGTGATTATTGCTGATGGCTAATGATCTGATCCTCAGTTTTGACCTGCCGTTTTTGATTATGCTAACACCTACCCCTTCTCTTCTCCCTCACTCCTCCCTTTGTCTTACCCATCCACCAGAGTCACCAGACCAGGACAGTTGAGAGCCTCCTTACTGCAAATGTAGGTGGTCAATCATATGTTGAATCTACCTCTATTTTGCAAGATACATCATACACACAGGTTGTCTTTTGGATCTGTTTCCATGGCGGAATAGGCTTCCATCTCCATCCTTTTGAATTCCTGCCTTCACACAATCAAGAAATTTGGATGAGTTATTTAACTTACAATGAAAATGTTGGTCATGGAAACATGGGGACCTCAGGTGCAGGTGAAGAAGCTCGGGCCTACAACTGTGAGGTTGTAGTTTCGAATTTGAGAGCAGCTATATTGTTTAAGTAATGCCAAAATTAGATCTCTGCCCAGTCCACCACATCCAGCACTTCATAGTGTCATGTTGCCTACTGTATTGAATCGAGTGTTTGTACCATTGTTACAAGTCATTGGGCTTATATGCCTTCAGCAAATATGGAATTATATGATCTGTACTGTTTGAGCAGTATAGCTGTGAGCGTTGGTGGTTGGATAGCTATAATGTTTTCAGATGCCAGGTTTTCCTGGATCATAGTTTACAAGTGCTGAGTTGTAATTGGGAAGGATGCAGCCAATACAGTGTAATGCCAAAAAGGGAAAAAAAAAGGAGGGGGGCGGGGGTTAGCACTTATGTGGTGCTCAGGTCAATATTACTTCGTTGTTTATGTTTTTTGATAAATTATGGCCAGTAAATATTGCCCTAAAGATTATGGAAGTACCAATTTCTGAACTATTTTGACTGTTAAATGCTGTTCATCCTTGGCAAAAGATTTGAAAACCCGAACTTTATTGTGGAATTATTGTGAACAAAATTGATCATGGTCAGAATAACTTTAGTCTGACTACAATGTTTCACGATTTGAGTTTCAATTGGGTTTAGGAATTATGATTTATGAGAATGGGCTATACCCAAGGAATTAATAGTGCACCTAATTTTTTGTTTACTTAATAGATACGGTTGGCAGAATCGCAACAGGAGCAAATTGTGCAGCAAGAAATGAAGCCAGAACAATTGGAGAAGATGACTAAATTGGAAGGCTGGCGCAAGGAGCTAAAGCTCTTGGAAGATAAAAAAGCTGAACTTGCAACATCATGAACTGAGGTTTGTTTTAGGATGAAGAAACTATAGTTTATAATTCCGATTGCTTGGTGGTGTGTAATCGCTCATCTTGAGGAGGGACACAACCAACTTTTGATTTTTATTTGTCAGATCAGCTATGGCTCTAGACGTAGTTTGTGTCCGACACATGTTTCCAGAAATTCGCTCATCCCACCATTCGACAAAATCCCGGTTCGGGCCTTGTGCACCAGAATCATGTAAAATGTAGTTTTCTCTTCACTGTAAAATGGGTATGCTAACAGATCATAAAGCCATGACACACCATGCCCTTTTGGAGTTAAAAGTGCCGGTTTCTACTTTGTGGTGTATCGCTTGAGAATTGTGATTATATTGTGTATGCTCTGTTTTAAAACAGGTCATTCCACTTGAACAGGCTAATCCAAAACAACGGGGACAAAGAAACATGCCTTCACAGACCACGCTGCTGTGAAATGGGTAGTCCCCTGGATACACTTCAACACAATACTGTTTGTGGCAGATGCATCAAATCCTTGAAGTGCTGGAGGTAGTGGGCCAAAGGCCAGTAAACGGATCGGTTTCAGATTGGATTCTGACGGATTTTAATTGGCAAAAATTTGATCCGATAATTTAATGGATTTTTTTTGGGTCATTTATAAGTCGGTACATGAAATTAGACTTAATTGTCATAAAGTACATAGGAAAAAATATTTTTTTAAAAAGTCCACTTAAGACAGAAATTTTATTGTAAATAAGTTTTTTAAACACGATTTTAGAAATTAATCGCATATTTAATTATCTTCATATTATCCGGTATGTTTGTCTCTCATATATATATATATGAAAAACAGTGTAGAAGTAATAGAAATTAGAGTTTAAAAATCACACAAATTTAAAGTGTATCAAAGTAGGAGTAATAGAAATTAGATTTTATAGTGTAATTTCGTACTATTATATATATATGATGACAAAAAAATTTAAAATTTAAAATAGCTAAAATATACACAATCAACGTTTGATGTAGATTTGTGATAATATAATTCTTCCGCTATATTAGAGAAATCTTTAATAAAATAAAACAAAAATCAAAAATCAATTTAACTGTTAAAAGAAATATGCATGATTAAAGAGAGAGCAAATATGTCAAAGAAAAATTACAAAAAAGTTAAATTGTGTACTTAGACACAATTAAATTCTAAAAATAAAAATTTAGTGATCTAACAGTAAGAGTTATATACTTTTTGATCAATAACTCTAATTTCATGTATCTCCTTATAATTTCTCCACTTTATTTTTGTAATTCATATTGAATCCGTTAATAATTCGAAATCTAATTTGAATAATTTAATTAACTAAATTTTAACTAAAATTTGTTAAATAATCACTTAATTTTTTTAATATTTATATATATATATATATAAATCTAAATCCATAGAGTATCAAATATCAAATTCAGATTCAAATTATTTGTAAAAATTATTATTTTATATCCAATTAATTTGATTCAGATCAAAATCCAACCAATTGACATGCCTAAGGCCAATGAGTGTAACCAAAATCATTTTCTTTTTTTTTTTGAAAACTGGACTTAAAAAACCTTTTATCTCACTTAAAAAATTATTTAAATTTAACTTGTTTAGAATACGAATCGAGTCGAGTCTTATCTGAGCCGAGCCTGAATATCTCGTCTCGATTAACACCCCTAATCAAAATCAGCAATACACACTATTTACAAGTCGAGAAGAAAACAAACCCAAAATAATTTTGTAATTTAGAGAAATGGGAAAAAGATCAAAATTCCCTATGGTCCTACAAAATTTTACACTACATCTATTAGGAGACACTCACAACCAACAGCAAAAGAGCCAAAACATAAGTGCACTCTGCAAAGTACAACAGCTTAAATACGAAGCTGCATGTCAAAATCATGCATATCAGTATAACTTCGGCCGATCTCAAGGTTCAAAAGAAAAATAAGATAGCCCCGGCTTTATAGAGGTGTTGATTGGTAAGGCTAACAAGGATCATGATTAGCCGGAGCCGGTATCCTATGAGGACTCAACATCTGAATCCTCCAACCCTTCTTTATAAAGTTCAAACTCCTCAGGGCTCCATCTGCATATTAAGTGAAGCCGGAAGGTAGCCATCTTGATACCCAGGAGACGCTGCATAACAACAGAGGAACACAAGTCAATGAAACATGTATATGAACCTCGAGACAGTTTATATAAGGAGAGGGTGGGTGTGTGAGTGCACATGCTGTGTGTGTGTGTGTGTGTGAGAGAGAGAGAGAGAGAGAGAGGTTTCACAAATCAAAAAGGACAGAAATGTACCCACAATAAATGAAATAAAAAGAAAAAAAGGATAACAGGTATGGGGTCCAAGCAATATTATATGGAACAAAGGGAATAGAAAGGCCACATCAGAATTTGAAACTGGAAAGCCCCAGTCAGTAATTTACAGTGGCACAAAATCTGCTGCACATTTGGCATTACACTTTCTTCTCCGTCATAATTTCAAATATTTCAAACCCACAATTGAGATCCATGTTAACTAAACAAGGAAAAAATAGCTGGCATGCTACACAGGTGGACAATATACATTCCATACATGGCTCACATCACAAATGTACATGTAGGTGAAACAGTGATTTGAATAGCAGAATTGGGTTATGAAACAGTAACAGTCGGAGTGCAAGGCATCAGGAGTATCAAGGCAACTGTAATTGGAATCAAATGTTATGGTCGGGAATTTTGTCAAAATATTAGCAAACCCTCAAAAACTCAATGACACACCTACATGAAGTCTCTTCATCTCATTTTGTCGCATTTTAATGAATGTTGTGACTAAAAAAATCATGTTTTACTTCCAGTACTGCTATAAAAAGTTGATGACCATACAAAACCAAGTCACACACTAGCACGCACATGTGGAAACAAAGTCAAAGAAATTGACACAAATGAATTGATTATAGCGAAAAACATAATCCAAAGGAGTTGATTGGACAAAAATTGGATTGTTGCAGCTCAAGACATCACCTGTCCTATTGCATAATCTTTCCACCTCTTAGATCGGATTTTCACATGCTTAATGAGTGACAATTGACCAGAGATAGAATTGTACTCCTTATCCAATTGGGACAATTATGTATGCTCAAAGAACAAAAATGGCATATTGCACATGTGGGTAAAGACACGGCGAAGATAGTCAGCTTCGTGTGACCTTTGCGACTATAAGACCTACGCTTCCTCCTCCATAATACGCGCCATTCAACCTCTGGGACAACACATTAAGGTTCATCCTAAAGGCTCCATCCAAGAGAAATGGAACATGAACTACTCAACCTTAGAAATTTGAAGAAATAACACTTAATTCTACTCCAAATCAAGTCAAATCATGTAAGGCTGCGATGATTTACGCCATTCGGCAGTCGAATCAAAAAGAGAAGATGAAGAAATGGGAGAAAAAAATGACTGGTTGCTCACAGAATTAGACCCCATATTTCAGTTTCTAGAGAACCCAAATCTCCCTTTAAATGGCCAACCCAGCCCATTTATGTCTGCGAACATGTCAAAATATTGAATTCACACTGATAACACTACAGATCAGCCCATATAGGTGAGAAATTGGTTTCCAACGACTTATCGGCAAGTATAAGACTTGAAGAGCAAGAATCCCATGCAAATCACACAACGGTCATAACTTAGAACAATGTGAGTACAGGAAACACCATGCAGGATGCACAATGCTTGTATCAAATTATCCAGCTAATAGCACAAGTAGAAGATGTAAGATTTGGAAATTTAAAACAAACCAGTATGCGAGATGATTCAGGCGATAATGGCCTCCCTTCTTCACAGACAACAAAGTCTGAAACAAGCTCCACCACACCTGCTCACCACAAATTAAGTCAATAGACTATAGCAAGTCATTTGTACATTAAAATAAATAACTAATTTATAAACAAAATACTTTCTCACCTTTGTTCAACCGAACAGGCATCCCTTGCTTCCGCAGGAAGGGTTCCATCTCATGTGTGAACTGGTCAAGAGGACCTTCTTTAAGCTCCACCTGAAGAAAGTATTATAGGCAAGAACTAATATGTATACAGCATTCAAAATACATGTCTGATATGCATAAACATAATACATAATATCATCTCATTAACATTTTGACAAATAGGATCAACCTCAGGCAGAAGAAAATGTTTCACTTACTCATTCAAGAATTATGGAAAAATTTCTTTGAAATTACATGCTTTTAATAGATGATTACAGAATTCTCTAATTCCTTTAATCATTAGCTGAAAATGTTAGAGGAGCATGTATTTTTATTTCTACAAAAGATAAGACGACATGTACATGAATTAGTTAATGCTTGTAAAACCAATGAACAAGGGATCACTTTGAGAAGCTGTGGTTAGTCCTCATATAGCGAACCAGCCAATTGGGATGCATGATGCTATTAACTGCAAAAACCCTTGAATGGTTCAGAAAATTGGAAAAATTCCCAAAAGCAAAAAAATTTGGGAGAGGGTCTACAAAGAAATTCCCAAGTTCGTCCCATACCATCACCTGTGGTGATGACTCCCATTTTCATCTATGAGATTATTTGTGTTACATATTTTTACCTTCTATGTAAAACCATGCAAACTCATGTGGCACTGAGGGCACAAAGTTTAATGACACAAGAACTTCCACCATACCTTTTCTGTTGAAATACTTCCAGTCCTTGCGAAATCATATTCTTCATATTCGTCAAATAATCTATCAGAAGATAATGGAAAAGAGAAAAGAAGTTTAACAAAGCAAATAGGATGAGAGGTAAAGGAAATCCAAAAAAAAAAAACTCCAGGGAGCAGCAACTAATAATAGAATCAGTTCTGCAATTTTTTCGGAGAAGGGAGAATTATCCATTTCGTAGCAAGTAATGGCGTAAGGGGAAAAAATAAAACTCAAATACTTCTACAAGAAACCATTAAACAACACAAGTTGACATTATTACAGTTTCTACATAGATGGAAAGGTACACCTCCCAAGCAGCACCCAGAGTTACTGAGACTTATCAAAGCATTACCTTTGATGTTCTACCACTTAAAAGCAACGGTAGTCTATGAAGTATGGACACTCTCGAGAAGGTTACGTATCCGTATCGAACACCGACACTCTTCGAACACACTCATACACGTATCCAATACTCTTTTATCCGTATCCATAATTAAATGATAAAATTTTAATTTTGGACACATGTCTAACACTTCTTTGACGTGTCTGACACTTCTTTGGTGACGTGTCCGACACTCTTTTAGAACGTATCTACTGCTAAACAATATACATGTATTGAAATGTAATTAACAAAACTTAAAATATTGAGAACATATAATTATTACCACTAGACATGTTAAAGTTGTACTCCAAATATAATAATAAAAACAAAAGATGCATAAAAATTTTTAAAAAAAGGAAATGAGAAAATGAAAACAATTATTTAAATTATATATTACATACACATTGTCTATAAAAAAAATTGATGATTATTGACTATTATTAGGATGCTTTAGTCTAAAAATTCACATAGATGACTAGTCATAAAATTTATTTTATCATAAAATTTATTTTATCATAAAATACTAAATCTTTATAATTGCATATCATTATCACTATAATTGCAATAAATTATATGTTATATATAAAATATAATTTTTTGTAGCGTGTCCCAACGTATCCTACTTTTTTTGAGAAATTTTGTGTCGGGCCTGTCGGCGTATTTGTGTCTTATCGTATTTGTGTCCCGTGTCTGTATCCATACTTCTTAGATGGAAGGCCCTGAGAATACTTATTGAATTATAACCAAATTTGATCCAAAATTTACTGACAGCTTTAATAATTAAGTCACTCGAGGGGAGTAATCTAAGGCAAGAGAACTATTTGAGAAGGCAATTCAGGGTGAAGAAAGGGTAATTTCCGAAGCCAGTTTTCAGAACTTCAAGCTAAAGATAGTCTGTATCAAACTAATACTCCAACTTGGTTTCCAACAACACGAAAGGGCAGAATGCCAAAATTAGGGATCTCGCAACAACTTGTTGAAAGAAGGTAGCCATATGCCCCCAAAATCTTCTGTATGCTTCTCTAATATACCATTCCAATAATTAAACAACCTATGTAAAGCTTGTTTTGGATTCAGATAACATCTGTTATATATTACCGAAACCCATATCACAGAGTTCTTGAGTTTGAATATCAAATCTGCCCACCTTTTGTCAACTGGATAACCAAGAAAGAGCAGCAGAGTTCAAGTGCACTACAAATAAGTTTTCAAGGAGATACCTTTGGACCTCTTCTTTTGGCAAATTGGTAAAGCAAATGCCAGAATCCCCCCGCAGAAGCTGAACAAGAAGAAATTTTTCAACAACATTAAAAGCAACAAATCTAATTGTGAATAAAACCTACAAAGAAAAAAATGTGCAATACACAAGGAATATATACAACAGCAATTCGTACTTTCGAAATCTTGTGAAGACCTGGCCTGATTTCATCAGCGACAGATCGACCAATAGAAACCTGCATGACTTTGTTGGATCCCAGGAAAAACCTGACACCCCAAAAATATTGATGATTGTTACAAAGCATATGAGTATACTGTAATGGTTAGCCTACCAGAAGTTTCTACTGAAAATGCCCTCAAAACAATGTTGTAACTCGTAAAAATGCATTTCCAATATGTTCATGGGAGAAAAGTTTAAAAGTCCATAGAAAATTTACAAATAGTTCATTGCATTTAAAATTGCAGCTCGGCGTTTCCTGAAAAAAGGATGGTGCTAAATCCAAAGCCTTTTTTAAGTTCATAGCCCGAAGTGTGCATCTTCAGTACAAAAGTTCATCCTTCACTTCTCTTAATATTAAGCCCTCTATAAGCAAGGCAAAAAGTTTTTAAAAAGTGAGTAACTGTGTATATCCTACATTCACTATGAGCATATCCATCAGGACAGAAAAATGAACGCAATCTACTCATGAGTCATGAATATGATCTGTTTTGAAAATTACATCTAGACATATACAATAATATGATTGAGCACCCAAATAGATGGTGAAAAGAAAGCAATCTTTCCTGAAACACATTTTTTTCTAATTACCTGCTAGTGGATTTGAGCTGCTCTCTGAACTCCTTGAATTTGAGATTTCTCATGTTCTCAAAACTAAACACATACACAGAATTGTACTTTTCTACAGCCTCCCTTATAGAATTCACAATGTTTTCTTTGTGTTCCCTCCCCTTCTTCTTCGTCTTCGACAACGTCACTGCATTCAAAAACAAAAAACCTAAAAATCAAACATCCAAAAACACAACATGCTTTCCATCAAAAAACCTCTAGTCCCGTTTAATTTCCAAGAAAAAGGGAATTTTTTTTTCTTGGCAACCAAACAGAGAGCAAGGATGAGGTTGTTGACCTGGTCTATTGCGCTTGGACTTCGGCATCTCTGAGAACTCTTCTGAGAATGGAGGTATGCGAATGAGGCGGCTCTGATGAGTTTCTCTCTGTCTGCTCCGCTGAGTTTCTGCAACAGAAGCTCTAAAACCCTATCGACAATTCCTCGTTCGTTTCCTAGGGTTTTATTACAGCAGCGCTCACCGTTGGTTCAGTTTGGGCCGGGTTTCTGGACGTGGATATGAAAAATGCTATTTTGGACCTACTCTTGAGTCTTGACAAGGGCACGAACACAATAAGGAATTAGAAGATCAAGATATTCTTTAAGTGACACTTTTCGTAAATGAATGGAGTCCACGTGATTAATAATTAAATTAAATATGAGTGAAATTAATTAAAATAAATATGCAATATAATTTATTTTATATTAAAGATAACCCGTATTTGAAAGTATGGTACAACATAAATTTTTATAAATAATTTTAAGAGAAATTAGTGACCGTTGAATAAATTTATTTAAAATCGTCAGATAAACTTATTGAAATCTATTTAGTTATACACGATTTATATACAATGTCGCCCCAACCTTTAGGCCACTTAGCCATTGCCTAGGGCCCTAATTTAAAAAAAAATTAGGGCCCCAAAATAAAATAAACAATAACATATTATTAAAATTTTAGAATATAGTTAAATAATTAATATATTTTAATCATTTAATTAATAGTTAGTGTTAACTTTAAACAAAATTCATTTTTTATCTAACGTACTTGGTCCTCAAATTAAGTGTAACTAGTATTGTTGTAAAAATTTTAGAACCTCTGTCAAAAAAATTAAGGCCTTAAAATTCAACTTATTTTTTATCTCAGATGATATTTATATTATATATATTATCGCTTTACAATTTTATTATTAAAATTAATTGTCTATCATCTAATAGGTACAAATAATGATTTTACATTTGTATAAATTAAATTTGAGGTTATTTTTTAATAATTTTGTTGTATAAATTAAATTTGAGATCATTTTTTTAATAACTTTATTTACAATGCACATGATGATTATAAAATAAAGTGAATAGAATTAATGCATTACCTATCTTTTTTTTTAAAAATATTTCTTTTTTTCTATGATATCTAACAATTAAGGATAACTCGTGTTTAAAGGCATGGTGCAACGTAAGTAAGAAGTGATAGATTTAGACGAAAAAATTCAATTTGAATGATTTTGAGAAAGATATTGGTGGCCGTTGGATAAGTTTATTTGAGACCAACAGATAAACTTATTGAAGTTTGATCTGTTCTATATTATAAATGTCTCATTTATTTTAGGATTGCTCAATTTGTATAAATTCCTATTTTTATATATATTTAGAAAAAAAAATTATTTGATTAGTTAAACTAATTTTCAGTTATGTTTTTTTTTATCTTAAACAAATAGTATGTGTCATTGAATTTGATCTTTGTATTTGACTTCGATTAACACAATTTTTATTTATAAAATTTAAATTTAAAATTTGAATTAGTATGATATATCTCAAAAGGTAAAACAAATAATTTGTAAATAAACATATTTTAATAAATATTAATTTTTTTTTTTTACTAAATAAATATTTATAGAACTTCGTATAACATTTTCGCCTAGGGCCTCAAATTAGGTTGGGTGGGCAGCCCCTGTTTATATACGATACAAATTTACTATAATAAAATTCATTAGACAGAAATTAATAAATGAATCAGATATAAATAAAATATTTTTTTTACAAAAACTTGATTTACTCGACATAATTGACAGACCAACTTTTAGAACCTAATATGAAGATCTAATCAATTATGCTTATACGTGATTGGTTTGTTCAGTTTGGGCCGGGTTGTTTTTGGTTCATTATGTTCGCCCCATTGCAGATTCTGAAATTTTGGTTGGACTTCTCGGGCCAAGCTTATCTAGACCATCAATCTAATAATTTAAATTTTGTATTTAAAAAATTACGACAACATTTGACATTAATTTAATCTTCATCTAATTTTAATTAAATGGTACCAAATTTATTATAAATTTTTCTTTTTCAAAAAATTATTTTTCTCTACACGATCATTAATATCAAACAACTCAATCAACACACTCTCCAATATTAGACAGCTCTACTAACTCATACATACTTCTCTTCTCTCTGCTACCTTTCTTATTTTCTTTTTATTCACTTTAATTTTAAATTGCATAATTAAAAAAATAAATTATTATTTAAAATATAAATATTACATAATTAATACTCGATCTTTAGTATTACAAAGGTGATTCGGGGTTACTGATAGTCTTGTGATAACACTACTATGCCTACCAAGTAATTTATTATAATTTTTTTAGACTTAACTACCTATTTTGCCCTTAAACTATATTGTTTAAGTCAATTAAACCCTTCAACTTTGGTTTGTGTCAATCAAGCCCCTCAACTTGTCTATGTGTGTCAATCAAGCCCTTCCATCCAATTCAGCCATTTAATGTGACGGACAAACGCGTGCATGGCTCACGTGAGACAAGTTTCAAGGGTAATTAAGGGAAACTGATATATTTTGGCGCCAAATCTTCCACCGCTTCCTTCCTTTATAAAGCTTCCCTTCTTTTCAGTGGTTCTCTCTGTTTTTATGCTGGGTTTTGCAGAAACGTAGCAATATTCAACAAGAAAAAAAGGGGAAGAAGAAGAATCTTAGTGACAATGTAGCTGCGAAATGAAGTGAATCATCACCCTCATTTATAATGAAGCACTAGCTTGCATGCATTCAATATATATAGTTGCTATGAAGAAGAATGTTTAATACACGTTAGTTTATAGATTTTAAGATCCCTCAACTCAATTGCATAGTTTCCTTAATTGTCTGTGTATTATCATGTTCCTGATTCCCTGAATTAAACCACCTTTTGGATATTGTTCCCCTTTTCTAGTGGTTGGAGGTATAATACTGGATTTTAAGATTATATATATTAAATTTAACCTTCCTCATACTCATGCATGAAAATTTGCTTTATCAAGTAGCATAATTTAGAATATGCTTAGGATGTTAACATGGCTGTACAGCTAGCATGATCGGGGAAAATGTGATATGTTCCCATATCGAATCAGTTTGTTGACCAAAGCCGTGTGAATATCGCTCTGTTTTAAGATTCTCCTTCTTCCCCTTTTTTTTTCTTGCTGAATATTGCTCTATTTTTGCAAAACCTAGTACAGAAACCGAGGGAACCACTAAAAAGGAGGAAAGCTTTGTAAAGGAGGAAAGTTGTGGAAGATTTGACACCAAAATACATCATTTTCCCTTAATTACCTCTACATGAGTCATGCGTGCGTTTGTCCGTCACAGTAAACAGCTGAATTGGATAGAAGGGCTTGATTGACACACATTGACAAGTTGGGGGCTAAATTGACACAAACCAAAGTAGAGAGATTTAATTGACTTAAACAATATAGTTTAAGGGCTAAATAAGTAATTAACTCATTTTTTTATTAATCAATATGTACTATAATTCATGAAACTCTTTTAAATTATAATATGAAACTCATTAAAATTAGAGTATGCAGTCAATGTATGTTTATTTATTTGTCGTCATCAAAATTTTTTTATACAACTAAATGATGGATTCTTTATGACTCATGCTCATAAACTTTGAAGTATAGCAATTGAGGTGCTAAATCAGACTATTTCGTTATCAGGTTGTGAGCATAATTAGAGCACATAAAATCTTATTCACACTGCGATGAGAAACAATTTGAAATATGTTAAAACTCCAAAAATTTATTTTCATTCACTAAAACATGAAATTGAAGAATAGGCATACTATGTGAAAGAACTAACAAGACATCAAAAACAACTTTTTTTTGGCCATTAACTAAAACAACGTTAATCCTATCAATTTGGATTTCATTTATAATGAAAATGATTTAAATACATGAATAAAAGAAAAGGAAGAACCATTGATACCCTTATATAAGGAAATTCGTTCTTGGATGAATTATTTTGGTAAAGATGAGGATAATGATAATGGGCATCATCGGTTGTGGATGCATCGCCTTTTTTTAATGTGTACTGCCATAGTTCGTCACCGAGAATGTATGACCTTTTTTGAAGTTATGGTGATCTGATCAATGCTTAAATTAAAATTGTTAGATCGCGATGAACTCATAAGATGAACTACTACAGGAAAAAAGACCAGTTCTACCAAAACGAGAATCACATTTCAAATTTCAAGTATACCTGATTCTGCATTTTGTATCTTTTCCCAAGAGGATTGCAGAATATAAGTAAATTGGTTGTGTATATGAAGGAAAATAAAATTATGTCATGTAGATAGGCAGGTAAAATAGGCACATGGTCTTGAAGGGACAGGTCACGTTGGGTGAAAGTACCAACAGTCTAGAACAAACCAAACCGAGTTGCAACAGCTCGGTTCGTGCTACTAAGAAAGAGTGCACAACACGTCTTGAAGGCTAGGCACAAACCGAAAAAGGGGATATAATCGTTTATAATCAAGGGATTTAGGTGTAACAGACAAACAGCTAGACAGAGTCAATGACTCAAAAGAGCAGTGATTGGGGAGCGTTAGAGAGATTTCTGCGACTCTCAACAAACAATTCCGAAGGAAGGGAAATATGCCATCTCACACCCCAATAAAAGGAATCCTTGAAACAAAGTGAAATATATATATAAAATAGTAAGGATGCATGACAAGAGATAAGTTGAATCCTTTCCATATACATTTTCTTGATACACACTTAAGTATCGGAGTGCCTTTCAATCGAAACACTTCAATCCTAGGTAGTTCCTTTTTGCAGATAGTATTTTCAAGGATGGACAATTCTTTCAAAATGCTTAGGAGGTATGGTGATTTTTATCCATCTACAGTATACATTTTTTTCTATATTTGAAGTTGGTACTAGAATTATAACAGGCATTAACGGATGTTCATCAATACATGATAAGAGATTACTATCGAGGGCTATTGAAAACAAAAAAGCAAATATACTATAACTAGATCTGGATCAAGGGACAGGTAACTTCCATATATATAATAACTAATCATCTAAACATTTGATAGCACCATAAAAACTTACATAGAATTAAGCTGCCAAATTCTAATCCACACCCCATGATATGACGCCCAGCCTATAATTGGCTCACTAGCCCCAACTAAGAGCCCTATGTGCAGCTCAATCAACAGAAAGCTCAATTAACGTATAAAACAGCAGTTCATCAATTAAAACAAAAATCAAATCACAAACCTGACTGATACATTTGAAGAGGGAACCTAGACTAGGAAGCTTTAGTGGAGTCATCTCCAGGTAAATCATCATCATCTTGGTAAATGTTTTCTGCCATCTGCCATATTTGCAGTATATTATCCTCAGCTACACTCGCAACAACCCAATCTTCACATGGATTCCACGAGAAATCGGAAATTTTACTTGTGTGACCACCATGAATAAAGAGCAACTCCGGTGGGCCATCTTCAGCATCCTCTGGTGTCTGTTCTTCATCAATCCTGGAAAAGACATCCAAGTATAAATTATCTAGCTAAACAAGTCAGCATTGTTGCTTGCATATATTTCACATAGCCAAGTAAAAATTTCCAATTTAAATGCTATCAAAAAAAACACAAGCTTTTACAGAGAGAAAGACTATCAAATTACCAGATGCCCAATGTAATTCGTGGCGGTATGGTAAAATAAAATGAACAATAAAATGCTTCTAGTGAGCAAGGATCAACATTTCGTTTCAGTATATTATTTTGGTCACCTAACAAATGGAAACATTTCGATATGTTTCAGAAACGTTTCGATCCGTTTCAAAAACATAATGTAAAAAAAATAGAAAATTTAAGAATTATTTTTCCAAAACATTGGTCGAAATATATCAAAATATCTTGAAACATTCCAAAATAATTCTGTAAATGCATTAAAATATTATGAAATACCTCGAAACATTATGAAACACCTTTAAATATTATAATTTTGATTCTATCATTGATTTGTTTCGGTCTCCTTGGAAACGGAAACGTTTTGGATGTTTTGAAACAAAATTTAAATCCTTTGCTAGTGAGCAAGAATGGCCAATAGACTGGTAGGGATACAATGCTACCTAACTGCATTAATGAATGAGATTCTATACCTAATGAACTTGGTAAATATTTGAGCAAGTAAATTGGACAAATCAAAAATTTAGTATAAAGGACAAAAAAAAGAAAACCAGGAAAAGCTTTGAGTGGAGCATTAAGATACATGTATGATTTCACAAAGATCAGCAGGAAGAGTAGTTTTTGGGTGAAGTAGACAAGCGTAGGATTTAAAATTTATCTTCTCCAATGAATAGGATGACTGAAAGAATGGATAAGTATTAATAAGCATCAAGGACAAAACAGTATGCAAAGAAAAGCGAAGAAAGGCAAGGGCTAAAAATGATCAATTCATTCCTCAAGAAAAAATCAAAACACATGACAGTAATTATAGCAAGCATGTAGTTTGAACAACATCTCTTTTGGTAATTCTCTCTGGCAAATGCTTCATAGGTGTCACAAGTAATCCTGTCTTAGCTTTTTTTATATCAGCAATTCTGATAATATAAGAAGCACTTGTTTGTACTCATTCTTTGGGATTCTACATAAATAAAGCCACCCACTCAGTGATACCAACAGAAAATAGGAAATCATAGGGTCAAGGGAATACCTGCTAAGATCCCACACCATAAGTCTTCTACCAAGACAACAAGAAGCTAAAATGGTCTCATTCTTTGGATTCCACCCAACTTGGAAAACCTCCTCCCTGTGGTATATCACAGCAGAAATTAAGTTCACAAAACATTATCAACAACTCATTACATGATGCATCTCTTATACATATACTATGATTACACATATACTATTATATGCTCAAAGGATCAAAGAATTCCAATGACATATCCCAAACATGAAAATTAGTCAAATGCAAGAGAGCAGAACTCTTACTTGTGACAATCAAAGGTATGGAGAGCAGTGGAGATCTTGCGCAAATCAAATAACTTAACAGTCTTATCAGTGGACCCCGTAGCTACGACCCATTCGTTAAAAGGATTGAAAGCTAAGCAGTTAACCTATCACAATATCACATACAAAGTATTATCATATCCGAACAATAGTGACATCATAAATTCTCAAAACTACAGAAGTTAAGTTAACCTATCACAATCTCTTTTCCTTTTTCCGCTTGAAGAGATTAAAGCACAGTAAAATGCCAAAGGCCAGGAAATAGAGAACATTTTTCAACCATCCACCATCAGGATAAATAAATTTTATGAATCCCTTCAATCAGGTCAATAGTATAATTGACACTGTGAGAAGATGTATCATCGGCCAACAATAATTACAGTTGGTATAAACTGGCATATAACGACTACAATATCAAATGTCAAGGTGGAAAAGCATGTTAAAGTAAAGAAAGTCAAGCAACAGGTCGTTCAGAAAATATATACAAAATTATTATCTGGACTTAAGCATAAAAAAACTCGAATACAAATAAAAATACAGAGTGAATGTAACAGCCCAACAAATACAAAACAAAAAAACTTCTGTCCCGGAACTTTCCATAATCTTTCAGCTCACACCAACAGTTTTCATATTTCTTTATGTCTTTTGGACTCCTAAGCCCTACCATGCACCATGGGTTTATATGTTTCCAAAACATAACAGAAATAAAAAAGACTCACAACCCAACATGAAACCCTACATATATAACACCAAGACTTCATGAGCAGAGATCCCTTTGGGCACAAGAATTATTTTACTTCGTACCTACCATTCTGAAACTTCAAAATTGGAAGACTGCTTCCTTCATAGCTCACTGGTTTTGTTTCTCCTTACTGGGCTTTATATTTTGCATCATGGACAAAAGATATCTAACCCAAAATGTGATTAGATGTATAGATAGAGAGTGAGAGACATGTCAAGTAACAGAATCAAAAAGGACCAAAAGCAGGTTCAAGTCTACCAGTCAAAAAAAAAAAGGATAAGCATAGGGATGTCTTGAACGTGCAGAATAGGCATCAAATCCATAGCATAGACATTTACCCTTCAAGATGCAGGTACTTGGATGACCCATCTCGCTGTAATAAAATCCCTTTCTTTACAGTTTGACAACCTATCAACTAATGCTCCAAGCATTAGAGACACATGGTTTTTTTTTTTTAGCTGTTCATCCAACATGTGAGTTTCATGCATAGACATGTTTCATTGCAATTCCCAGAAGCAACCATTCGACAATATTTGGAAAAAATAAATCCCAAATATGAATGTTGGCACTAGAGAGAACAGACTTGACTGCAAATGAGAAAAATTCAGTACTAACACGGGTAGACTCTAGCAGAAGCTTCAATTGCTGCTCAAGAAGATGAATATATAGTTCTGCACTACACAGATACTTGAATCCATATACAAGGGAGTTGTGAGACTCTTGTACACACCTCACTTTGATGAGCAATTACTGACTGAATTGGCTTGCTGACTGAAGGAGTGCGGAGATCCCATACATGCAGATACTGATCATCACCAACCGATCCAAATAAGTATTCATGCCTCAGATGCCACGCGACATCTTCTACAACACCCTCATGAACCTTTCCCAAGAAAATAACCAATGTTCGTCAAAAGAGCTATAAATCACATGTAAGCAGCTCTAAAAATATAATCAAGTGTAAGATTACAGATTTTCTGTGTCTTGGAACTTCCGGACAGCCAAAAAAATACACCTTAATTGTCAAAATACCTCTTAATTGTCAAAATACCTTAGTATCACTTTTGGAATATTTTAAGTTCTGCAATCATATCCTAGATATCTAATAGTAAGTTGATTTCCACTGTCCAAGGAGCTAATTCACAGTAAAAACATTAGGTCTACTTACTTTCAAGCCTGCATTTTGACAATAGGTTTCAGTTCCATCAGGCACGTTAAGTAAAATAGTCAGGTGTGCAAGTTTGCTCGATGCGGATAGACGGTATAATAAGTCCAACATCAATGGAGATATGTACCTTAAATATTTGCATGGCATCTAGAGCCTTATTCTTTGGAGCTGCATTGATGTCCCACAAGCATATTTGGGCATCATCTGAACCACTCAATAAATGACCCTGCTTGAACTGACTCCATGATAAACCATATCCTTCAGTATTGTGGCCCCTCAATCTGAGATCGGGACTACATGCACCATCTAGAGGAGGCTTAGATGGGTGTTTGCTATAATCAAAAACATAAACTTCTGCACTAACAGTCTTGGTGGCGATGATAAATTGGTTTTGTGGCATATAACGAGCCCTGTTAACCTCTCCATCATGATTTATTTGCTGGATTATTTGTACCTGCAAAACATTTTTATAATAAATATTAAAGTCTTCATATTGCAAAGGTAAGACATATAAAATAATTCAATCACATGCACATGATGGTCTAATCTAAGACAAAAATCCCATCACCGATTTCTACGAAACCAATGTTTTTGAAGGCACACTCTGGAGCGTGCCTAGGCACAAAGCAGCTTTGGTGCCTAACCGGAGCTAAGGCAATTAGGCAAGGCATCTTGACATGCACAAGCATAGTCTCCAGTTGCTCACTCATGTGGACAGGCCCGAGGCATGAAATAGGTACACCTTGTTTTTTGGGCTTTTATGCTGATATTGTAATGAACCATGGAATATGTTTGAGGGGGCAAATATATGGTGTGTATGATACATCTTATCAAGTCTGCAGGTAGAAAAGACTGTAGCTGACCCTACGAACCAAAGAGAAAATCAACAAAGACAGTGATGAATAGCTACCATTTATTAAGTCCTAAACAATTACCAACAATCAAATAGAGACCAAAATAAGAGCAATATCATGCCTCTTTATTTACTCTCCCTCTCTATTGAACTGCTTTTCTCCACGATACATCATCTGCAGACCCACTGTTACCCATGCACATCATCTCCTTTTTCTTTTAAATTCGTCTTTTTGGAAAAATTTGGCTGCCTAACATTTAAACAACTGTTCTGTTTGAGTGTTTTCCTAATTGTATCTTTACCAGTTATGTTTCAGCCTTTTCAATACTATTAGCTGAATTTATTCAGTAAAATCAGCTTCTATTGTTGGAACAGAATGCTGCGAAATAAATAAAGAAATATAAAAGATTCTTTTAATTTGCCGACGGATAATTGGAAACTCTAATCCTATAGGAGATAGAAAATGCTCGCTCTACTTTTAAACATTTTTCTCCATAAAGAATTTTGCCTTCTTATAACATTATAGAAAGAAGGAGAAAAAAAAGGAACTACATTCATATTGGGCACCAGTTAGCAATTTCTTCAGGAAAAAATATTAAATCAAGTGGATAATTGACTTAACCACCCAAAGATCAACCCATCAAATCTTCAAGTCTGTCCCTTGCCAAATCCAATTTTTAGCAAGTCACAATCTATGGTAACTAGGTAACCAATGGCCCCCATATGACAAACACGCCCACCTAACTACAATGAACAAGTTCACTATCTAAGCAACAAATTTACAACTAAACCCACTATCACTACTTCTATTCACAAATGTATACCACAGTCAAGCCCTAAAAGTTGCAATTTTTCACATACAACAGTAAAGCTTCGTGCTTTACAAAACTAATCAAGCCTCAATTCAACAACAACAGTTAAGAAACAGTACGCACATAAAACTTTGGGGGGGGGGGGGGGGGGGGGGGCTATAACCAATTATTATACCTTGCCGTTGGCGCAACCGAATCCGCCGAAATCGGACCTATCATCGTCATAATGACGCGCATCATTCTCAGCATCCTCGAGAGGAAGCTGGACCTGGGCGAGCATGAGATAGTTGGGCTCGTTCTCCGATGTATGCGTCCCCAAAATCATCTTCTGCACCGAGTAGTCCTTCCCGGGAGGTTCTTCCCGGTCCGGCAGCCACTCGACGGTGAGGGACGGCCACTCGAGCGCATGTGTTATGACCAAATCGTAAAGGAACGGCGTGTTCTTCTTCCAAATCTTGTACTCTTCGTTTATCAGTCTCTCCTCTATCTCTCCTCTCATCTCTTCCTCGTCCTTCCCCATTCTTAGTTTCTTCTACAAATCAAAACTCCAAAGAAATAAAATTTGGCTCTGAATTTGAAACTCTCTCTCTCCTCTCTCTGCAAATTTTGATGTTGCAGATGGTGGAGGGAAGATTTCGTTTTCACAGTGGAGAGAGAGAGTTCGAGCGCTTTAAAGTGCTTGAGAGAGGGTAACAGTTGGACTGGGACTCGGTTGGGCTTATGAAGTTGGGCCAATAACATTAATGTCACGGCCCAATTTTCTCAAATAGGCATGGACTAAATTATTAACTATATAGTATTATTAAAATAAATTATTAAATAAATTAAATCAATCGTCATTCAATATCTAATTAAAAAAATCCCAAAGAAACATAATTGAAGCATCAATGTTACAATCAAAACCTTTAAATAAACCTATTAATGTTAATACCATTCATTCATCATAACCCAAATAAACTAAATTAGATAAGCAAAATTCTAAGTCTTGAGAACTTGATCCATATCTTGATTCATCTCAAACTCGACTTTCATATGCTCATTTATAGTGATGTCTTCCTATATTCCAAAATCTGAAAAATTTTAAAAAGGGTTGAGCAAACAAGCCCAAAAACACTCTCTCAAACCTAGACAATGTTTAGAAAATTGATAAAATAGGTAGATCTCGATTTTTTAACAAAATAACATATATAACTTCTAAAATAAAACATGTAACATTATAACGATCTTAAGTGTACGATACATGACAATAAATTCATAACAAAATATAATTATTTTAGAAAACATCAGCTCTTAGTAAAAATATCTCAAGTAAATAAAAGAACAAAAGAACCACAATAAACATATCTCATTTACGTCAATTGATTAACTAAAATTCACACATCAACTATATTTGGCCCATACTAACACCCAAATTATCAAATCAATCCTTGCAGGGCTGTGACACTTTAGGAAGTATGTATACCGACATATCGGCATTGATGAAACCTTTCTAGGACTAATATATTAACTCTTATCCTTGATCACCATGAGTGAATAATGAGAGATAAGGAATCTTCAAACCCCTCAGAATAAGAAATTCATCTAAACACTTAGTGATATATATTCGAGTGTAACTCACGTTCATTACACTCATCTATACAAGAGATAATATATGAACTTTCAATAAAATCCACATATCTCACAATTCATAATTTTACAATTCTCATAATAGAAGAATAATCCAATCAAACACATGGAAAAGATCGTACTACAAGAATTTAGGGTTTTTGCATCTCTTTTTTTTGCAACGGAATATTTACAGAGGCAAAAATATTTTTTTTTACAACTGTTCTTGATGATGATGTTTAAAATGGTATATTTGTAATAGGAAATCATTGTCGTGGCAAAAAGTAAAATTTTTTTGTAATAGGAATTTGTTGCCATGGCAAAATGTAAAATTTTTTTGCAATAGGAAATCGGTGTCGTGGCAAAAAGTAAATTTGTTTAAAAAAAAATTTCTCTTTTTGCGTTGATTTTTTTCCTATTGTAAATGCCTAAACCAAAACGATGTTTTATTAATTCTAATTACCAAAATGATAATTAATCTTTAAACAGTTGATTATTAAAAAAGGGTAAATTATATTAACTTCCCTTAAACTTTGTCACTAAAACACATTACACTGACACTCCCCAAAGTTTGTATGCGTGTAATACATAAATACCTACCATTAAAAACTATTTGAAAAACTGTCAAACTTTAATTATGTTACCATATTTTAAGAATTTAAATTCCAAAATACCCTTATAGAAATAATTAAAACCAACCCACTTAATTCTATCAGGTGGGTTAGTCTGGCTGTTATTGACAGAGGGTTTCAATGTAAGATGTAATACCATAGGGGTCTGTGTATTTTAGTGACAAAATTAAGGGGTCTAGATGTAATTTACCCTATTAAAAACTGCTTTCTTTTTCGTCCAATTATCAATCTCATGCCTCTTCTCTCTTTGCACGTCTCCTTCTTTTTCTCCAGCTACAACTCTCCACTGTCTTTCGCTCCCTATGGTTCTCTCTCCCTCTGTCTCTCTCAAATCGAGCAAGCCCAAGAACTCTAAGTCAAAGCAGCCACTCCAGGTAGGTTTTGTTCTTCATTCTTTACAATATATGCATATACAAATACACATGAGATTGGTTTAGCCAAAATTTTGCTTATGGCAATAATTGTGACACCCCAAAATTCAGGGGTCTGTTGATTACTCATCAACCCGCAGAATGTCAGTGGATACCGAATAACTTGATATCTCAACGTTATGCCCCATTTACCGGGGTCCATCCTTTATTAAAAATTTGGGCAGAGTCTCCTTTGTAAGGAGAACTCTACTTAAAACACAACCTGTACATTATATAATAACAAGACCCATCCGAGGTCTTATATTCAACAATGACCATACCGGGTCCATTTATAAGTAAACATTGGCCACACTGGGTCCAATTATCCATATTCATACAAACATGTAAAATTATATTAAAACAGTCGATATAGATTCTATCACAATTCCTTTACACATTACATGCCAAAATTTAATTACAAGTCTAATTTTACAAAAGAAATGGGTTGAAAGCCACAAGTCGGCTTTTCTTCCTCCTTAAGTGCCCGAGTAAGTGCCGTCCCTCGGCATATAACCCGTACCTGAAATATTTTCCGTGTAGGGTGAGCCAACGCCCAGTAGAGAAAAACTCCTACTAGGGCTACTCCCCACCTTAAATGCATATGCAATGTATATAAACAACATTTAACATTTAACAACCATTCATACAAGAATATGTATTCAATGTTGAAATGCAACAATGTCATGCCATGAAATAAGATGATACTCACTCATGCACTTAAACTCAAGTCCTCACTGACTTCCACAACATAATGCAATGCCAATGTGTAATGACCCGTCTTCGACGAAAATACATCCAATGATCGCTTTGAATAAAAAATCATGCGTTTTATAAATTAGATCATTATTGGATGGTACTCATTAAATGAGTATTTTCTTATAAATCAAAATCTTGTGTCTTGTTAGGCAACGGATTTTGGATTTTATACCGCCGGTTCCGTATACCATACTACACTTTTCTGGAATTTCACCACAGGGGAGTGTATAACCAAGTCGCCGGGTCTTGCACCCGAGGGAGAGTCTAGCCCTATTTGCTATACCCGACACAAGTTTTCTTCCATGCAACCATGCGACTCAAAGGGGATCTTCGATCCACTTTTTTCCGAACCCACATACCAACCACCAAACAAGGTGTTTTGATCAACCATGCACCTCACACACCCACACTCATGACTTATGCCCATGAATGTGATGTCTCTATGCACAATGATACAATGTTCAATATGCTATGAATGACATATGAACAATCTCAACATATCATGATAAGTTATGTTCTAAGCATATAGATATCATATTTGTCACAAATTCAATATATCATAACATGCATATACCAACAATTGCATTTCTAATCATAAATCATGTCATAAGTCCATAATTTCACTTTCATACTCATAGGCAAGTGATATCACAATTTTTAGGCTAATAACACACCTAATCAGTAAGGCATAATATAACACATAACGGCCCATGTAATAGCCCACGTAACGGCTCTTATCTAAACTACAAAATAGCTCATACAAACCACCATATAACAGCCCGTATATAGCCCACAAAATAGCCTAAAAACAGTCCGCAAAAATAGTCACAATTTTAGTCCATAACATGGCTTAAAAAAGTCCATAATTCAGCCCTTTAATAGCCTCTTAAACAGCCCAAATTCATACCCTTAACAGTCCCTAATTAGTGCACAAAACAGCCCTTAATTAGTGCACAAAATAACCCCAATTTTAGCACCAAAACAGTCCATTTGAACAGCCCACATATAATCCAATTTCAGCCACTAAAAGCCCACTTAAGGTAAGAATAAAACCAAGGTAGGAGGGAACCCTACCTCAATAGAAGTGTAAGAACTTCTACAAACACCAAATTAACCTCAAAGCTTTGATTTTCCCCAAAGTCTCCTCTTGGATCTTCGGTGAAATCCACTCTCTTTGGTACGTACGCGTAGCCCTCGTCGAGGAGATGAACTTTGACTTTTGGTCCGAGTTGATCCGAGCGACAGAACTCCGAGAATCGGTGAAGGAGGATTTGTTTTCTCCCTTTTTCTCTCCCTCTTGCTCTCACACGTTGGAACCAGCTGAAATGCAGAGATCCTTCAGCAAAATATCTGATTTAGCCCTTATTTATACTTTCCAATACTTGGCCCGAGTCGCGCCACGTGTCCCTCACTAATTCGGGTCTGTTTTTGCCCCGAAACGATTTATTTTGTACCGGTTTAAACTCAAAATATTTTATATGAACTTTATTTAAAATATTTTTCAACTATCAAAATTTTTATTAAAATTTCATTTTGGGGGGTCACCAAACGCCTCTAGCCTCGAAAAACGTAAAAAATTCAACTATCTCAAAATTCGATAAAAATTGACAAGGCAGCTAGATTTCGCAATGCGAATCCAACGGTGAGATCCGTTTCACCATACGAGGTCTAAAAATTCTAATTTTTCAACCCGCGCTATAATGATAAATTATCATTTTGCCCTTTATTTCAGAAAAAGTTAAAATTTTTCCCGGGTTTCACAATAATGTTTGATTCGAGTTATTTCATTCTATTGATAAAATTTTGACTTATTTATTTAGGTTAACCACTTAGATTTATCATCCCAAAATCCGAGCTTTTAAATCCATAGTCTCAAACCCAATAATTTCATATACTTAAATAAGGTCAAAGTATTAAAAAAAAAGATAGAAAATGTTGTTTATTTATATTCATGATTTGTTTTATGGAATTTATTAATTGTCAAGGCATTGAAAATAAAGTTGAACAACAGGAGCTTCGCAATCCCCTTCTTGTTTCTCTTTTCGATGCAAGGAAGGCCCTTGTTTGTGGCATGCATGCTTCGTATTGATTTTCTTATTCCTCTCAATTTCTTGATGGGTTTAGGCAAAATATATATCATCTGACTACCCAATTCAACTAAAGTGATATTGATTTCCAGCGAAATCACTTTGTTTTTTGGATCAATTATATGTGATAAGCCTATATATTGAATTGTTTTGT